GTAGGTCAAAATAAACATAATAATTAACTTATACTATTGTAACCAAATGCATAATAATTACAAACAACATGAATCAACACTCAAAAACATAATAGGTGGGAATATTAAACCCATTAATAATAATAAACAAGTTAAGCTCATCATATAAAACATTTAAAACTATTCACCCTATAGTCTCTAATAACCGTACAACCACAGAACTAAATCCTCTACAAAAAACAAAAAACAATGTAGTATATCAATTTACATGCCCGTATCTCTGATGCTAATAATAAACCCACTACATATATTGGTTTTACTCCAACCACACTATCCCGTAGACTTACCTGTCACGTTTCTGATTTTTTCTATTAAACAACATTTCGTAGAAAAGCATAGACATGTACATAATATTTACAGACATTAGTTGATAACACACATACGCGCAGTAAATAGAACCTTCAGATATTGGAGGCCATTTACATCAAAACAAAGCAACCCACACTCAACAAAGTTACATTTCAAACTAGTCACAACACATTACACTGCATCTAGACATTGGTTCTATTGTAATACTTCACTCCGGTCTATCACGTGGTATGACGTCATAGAACCGCATCTTAAACTTACGAACTGCGTCTGAAGATGGCTCATATATATATATATATATATATATATATATATGATAAAATATCGTTTTAAGGTGTGGTATATTTATGGGTTGAAGAGCCCAGTATCAAAGATAGAACGTATGTAAATATAAAAGTGGACATTGAAGTCAACACCCAGAGACGATAGTCTGTTTCATGCTTAACGTAATCATCAGACCATGTCATGACGGTTGCATTTAGCATAAAACAGATCGTCGCCTCTGTTGACAATGTCCACTTATACATACATATATATATATATATATATATAGTAATTCATCGAGTCTAGAATAATCCTTAACAGAATGCAGGAAGCACTTGGCATCTGTTACATTCTATTTTGGACTCATCGGCAGTGCGCATCTGCTACCAAGAATCGAACCCGGACCGTTTCGATACAACGTAAACGTCATACGACTGGACCAATGGGCGTCGATGACAAACAAGAAACTGACTAGACTCGATATAACGCCACTACTCCCAAATTCTGTGGTGATACTCATCCAATTATTCAAACCCAACGAGTTGTACCCGAAGAGCAAGGCTTACTTCCCTTAGACGCTGGCTGAGAATTAGCTGGATATTAATATATATATATATATAATATATATATATATATATATATATATATATATATATATATATATATATATATTTTCAAGTATAGGTGCAGTTCAATTTATAATTACATGAATCATTCATCCAAAAATAAATATATAAGTTAATGATTTAAATGGCGGGAATACATCTTCGCAACAATTTTAATAAAGTACCGAGAAGTAAAAAACAAGAACAAATCAATTTCCATACCTGAAGATGTCTGTAGAAACAGACAAAAGCTTGTAAAAACTAAAAAAGACCTTTATGTAACTGAAATTTATAAATAGGGATCATATCATTCATATACAGGTTTGGGGTTCGTTTATTAAAATTGTTTGCGAAGATGTGTTCAAGACTTTATTAAAATTTGTTTTTTGTATGAATGATTCATTATATTTATATATATATATATATATATATATATATATATATATATATATATATATATATATATATATATATATATATATATATATATATATATATATATATATATATATATATATATATATATATATATTGACTTCAATGTTCATTTATATATATATATATAGGTTGGGCACCTTGAGGTTGCGTAATGGTTAGCAAGCTTGTCTTGCTAGAACAATTACGACTATGTAGTGAGTTCGATCCTCACTGGATGCCCCTACTTTCGGCCTCGTGCCACATCTAAGCTACGCTTAGAAAATCCCTATATATATACCTGCACATTATATATATATATTGCATAGAGTAAAAACTCACACTCATTGTTAACCTTGGCATGCATGAATACAAGTATTATTTTAAACGTGAAGTTCATTATTTTATTATTTGATGAATTCTACTGACAGAATTGACAAAACAGAATTTTTTACGTTAAACATGGAACAGCAAAAAAAACATGCATTCTAAAACCTGAAACAAATTCCAAGGTACAGGAAGATAAGAAGTATAAAGCAAAGGAAATTGTGGAGAGTCGTGATCACCCACATCCTGAAGAGACAAGGTGCACAAGTAGAAAATTCCACTCTCCTTATTAATTCCAATACTGCCTCGATCTTCCAACTAAAGCTTACAAATAGAAACAAATCTCTGTAAAAAAGAACCATAATTGGTATTATTATTGCTGCTAAATACGCGTTCCTGCAGCAATTTTATGTATTGTGGATGACAACCTGATTTCAGACAGCCATGTTTCAGACGACGAGAAGAACACCGAAATGCGGAAGTTGTCATGCGCAGTGAGCCACCACAGATTTTTATTCCCGCCTCTTTTCTTCCCTTTTCACCTTTCTCTTCCTGCCATCAGCAATGAAATCTGATCCGAGTAGATACCTAGTCAAGTCTCAAACGGTTAATAACCGCCCGACAATACAGGATGAGGACAGTAGGAAATTGTACAGAGGCTACTATCACCATTATTGTTAACATCAATTACTTCTATATGGGCTTGCTGAAAGGCCAGACGAAAACGAAGCAACAACAAAAAAAAATGGACGCATATTGAAACACAAGGGAGATAACTCAGTGAAGCGAATAAATAATGAAGATGAAAGGTGGTGGGGAGTAAAATAACATAAACCTATGTTAAAAGTGATATCGAATGTGGATTATCAGCTTTTGACATGGAAGTTAGATAGTGTAAGAGATAACTTCGAATGAAATTCAAAACATTTTAAGCTAAATATCAACATACAAAGCATTAAAAACATCTATGTATACACATCAGTTTGGATACGTATACATTTACATATAGTCTGAAATAAATGAATATGTATAAATGCTAAATTTTCATACACACACAGACATATATATAAACACACACATACACACACACACACACACACACACACACACATATATATATATTTAAAAAGAAAAACAGACCACTTTAAGGTACAATTATAATAATTTATTTCACCAGAGCCCTTTTAATGGACGCCGGATCATCAGATAGCACTTCCAACAACGAAATAAAACAAAAAATTAAATTAAAATTGATGGGTAGTGTAAGTTTTTGTAATTTAACAGAGAGTGTAAAAGGAGTAGTTAAAGAGACATGGTAGAGTATAGGGAGGGATTAATTTCATATCTCTCTCAAGCATACTTTGTATTGGGGGAGGAGGAGTGACCAGACATTCACCTATTTAGACGGTTAACTTAACGGAAGTGATATACTGAAATGGGAAGGAAGAAGGGAGAAAAGGAAAAAGGAAAAAGAAAGAAGAGGAGGAGGAGAGAAGTAAAGAGAAAGAGGCTGTAATTGGGTTTTAGCAATTTATGTAAAAAATAGATTTTAATGCTTGATAGTAATTTAGATGTCTAAAAAAAACAGGAAGAAATTAATATGATGCTTGCTATCAATTTAAATATTTAATTTTTTTGAACAAAAAGTTTAAGAATTTAATACAAGTAAAATACTATATTTTTTAACACATTTATAGAGAACATATTAAAAAAATATTTTAAATTATAATAGTTTGTTTACCCGAAAATCGTACTTTTTAATATTGTTAAAAATAGTTACGGTAACATCTTTATCAGTTTGAATCTAATTTATTAATGCAATTTGTAATTATTTTTATATGGGTAATCTTTCTTACTTAAAGTTTAGGTTATATATATATATATATATATATATATTAAGAAATGGACAAGGTCCGACAATTTATTTATTAAAGACATTTTTTATGTTTAACGTTGTTATTTATAGATACAAGTATTTAAGCAAATGCTCTGTTTATGATAAACAGTATTAAATAACATTTACCGGCCTGAATGTCCGAAAATTTTCATAAAAATATTCGTTCTTTGACAGGATTCGAACCTGCATCCTATACGGAACCGTCATTTACGCTGACGTGCCTTAACCGTCTCGGACACAAAGAACCTTTCGGTTTATAAGCAGTAAATTCGACCTTGTCTACCGAAAGGTTCTTTTGCGGCCGAGATAAATAACAACGTTAAACATAAAAATGTTTAATTAATAAATATATATATATATATATATATATATATATATATATATATATATATATATATATATATATATATATATATATATATATATATGGTTAAATTTCCAGATCAATTCTGTGGACAAGACAAATTGGTATGAAATGAGAATTGGAAAAAAAAATCTTGCCGACGCGTTTCGTCTTCCGACTTTTCAAGGCAACAATGAAATCGAAATGTTTTTTGTTGTTATAGTTATATTAAAAAATCCAAATTTAAAAAAAATAGACGCTTCTGCCTAAACCTTTTTTTCTGGTTAACGTAATGTACCAATCTATCTTGTCCACAGAAATGGTCTGGGAATCTAACTATATTGTCGACATGGAAAAAAATCCCTTACTATAAAGGTAATTTACATTAACCAGAAAAAAAGGCTTAGACGCAAGCGTCTATCTTTTTAAATTTGAATTTTTTAATATAACTATAACAACAAAAACATTTCGATTTCATTTTTGCCTTGAAAAAGTCGGAAGACGAAACGCGTCGGCAAAATCTAAGATTTTTTTCCAATTGTCATTTTATGCCAACCATATATATATATAAATGTATATATATATATATATATATATATATATATATATATATATATATATATATATATATATATATTATAATTTTATCATATAGACAAAACCATTTTACTCAAAGATGCAATTTCGTTTCAGTGCATTTCAACTGCACTTCGACGGGTGAGAATCGAAAATATTATCACTCTACTTCGGTATCGAACCCTCTTTTGGATTAATGCTCTGAGCGTTGGAATTTATATATTACTTTCGTTCTCATCGCATCGGATATAGATAGATAGATAGATAGATAGATAGATAGATAGATAGATAGAGCCAGACAAACCTACCCAGGTTTCACCTAAACGGATCGTCAGGGAAAGCCTGGGTAAATTGTCTATAACTAGGTGCATCTAGGTCTGGTCTACGGTTGTATTGAGCGCTTTTGTTAGTTGGTTGTTTACTCGTATCGGGTTTTTTTCTTTATGCTTCAAACCTGCATCTATGCGATTTTTTTGTCGGCAGAAGTTCATGTTTGTAGCTCTTTCTTTTTTTAAAACCTTTTTTTCCTTCGTGATTGATTTGATTATTAACGTATCAAAAATTCGACGTTTTTTTCGAAACGAGTATAGTTACCTATATATATATATATATATATAAAAAGAAATATGTTGTAGTGGTTCCAACGAGAGAAAAGTATGTATATTAAAAAAGAAGAGGGGTGCCGCAAACGTTTTTGGTTGTAATGTGGATTTATTGAGAAAAATATTATACTTTGTTTTACATAATTTCACGACACGTGTTTCTGGTCTGGTCTCGCAAACCGTCTTCAGGTGAAAGTGGAGATTTTTACATATTATTAAAATAATTAATTTTCTTCATGTTCAATGTGGAATATTCTCGATATGAGACATTCTGTTTGTGTGTTAGCAATCCGAATTTTCTTTCTAGAATTGTCAATGAAGAGTTCTGCGTGAAGGGTCATAAAACAATTAAGGTTTGTCCAGCGAGTAGTTATCGGCATTTAATCTTTTAATGTTTTAGTGACCTCTATGTGCTCTTGGATCTGTTTCTATTTTGGTGTGTTCCTGTCAGCATGCGTGTATATATGCGTGCGTATATTTCCTTACTACGAGGAATTCGTAAACTTATTTGTACCTATACACATACACACACATACACACTATCCCACCACAAGTAGTCAGTACACACACATATACACACATATTTCCCAAGCTACATGGAACCAGTACACACACATACACACACACACACATACATACACACACACACACACACACATGTACTTCTTAAGTTGTCAACATCCGCATATACATACATAAATGTATGTATGTGTACATACACATATATATATCTCCTCGTGTCTCCTGTATATGAGTGTGCGTCCATACCCTGTGTGCATGTTTTTTTTTTTTTTTTGTTTTTTTTTTTTTGTGGGGTTAAATCTATTCATTCGGGTTTGAATTTGTCTATAAAGTTTTTTCCTGTGTAGATACGAGTAATTGTCTGTTTGATATATCGTGATATTAAACACATTTGAAAATGTGTTGTGATACAAAAAGTTTTCTGTTGTCTGTCAATTTTATTTGCTTTTGTTTTTTTTGTTGGGATGCCTATATATGACTTCTTACATTTTGTGCATTTAAGTATAAACTACATTTTTGGAGTTGCAGTTTAAGTTTTTGTTTATTCAAAAGTGTAGGAGTTTCCTTCTATAATGATGGTTCATTTTGAATTTGGTCTACCCATTGTTTTAGGTTTCTAGATTGGCGTTTGCATTTTTTTTTTTTTATTATTCAGTTTTAAGTTCTTTTTTTGTGATTTCTGGGAATATTTCTGTTGTTTTTGTTGTACGTTGAGACATTCAGTAGGTTTGTTTGACGTTACGTTTCTTTTATTTCTAAGTTGGTCTAGAGGAATTCACAATAAACAAAAACTTAAACTTCCAAAATGTTTTATGCGTAGAGAAGTCATTATCTGTTTCATACAACTGAACAACAGGGTTATAAAATTTTGTATCTTTCAAACTTACCCTGGTTATTTTCAAACTGTATTTGTGATATAAAAGTTTTCTCATTGTCTGTCAATTTTATTGGATGTTGACATTTTTGTGTATTGTGTGTGTGTGTATGTGTGTGTAGACTGACCCTGTTGTACAGTTTACGTTGTGACAGGCACACACACCAAAATAGCTGATGCCTATTAAAGATTATGACTTCTTACAAACCTTTTGTTTTATGACCTTCACGCAGAACTTTAAGTTTAAACTGTCTCACATTTTGGAGAAGACGGTTTGAGACCAGACCAGAAACACGTTTATGTTCTTAATTTCTACATATTTTTTTTTATTATTACAATTTCTCATACGAGCTAATTTTTTTCTTTTTTCGGATTGTTATATAAAAACTGTCAAAAATATTCTTCTTTTTATCCGAGCGCTTTCTATACATTTTAGCCATTTTTTAATAAAAATTTTGTTGTATGTATTTTATAAAATATTTTTATTTTTAAAAACATAAGAGACCATATTTATTATTGAGTGTTGTTTTGTTTATTAATAAGTCTTCCATTATTTTTAGCGGTAGATGATGTTTATTGTATTAGTATTGTCCTTTTACAGGTTTCAGATGGATCTAATTGAATATAGACACACCATCCTATTTAACCTGATGCTAACCACCTGGAGGTGACTCATTTCGCTGAAATGAAGTTGAAAGAATATATTGAAACCTAAGAAACTTGCACTTGTCATGCTAGAAAATTTCTACACTATTTTCATTATTCGGACTATTGTTCTCATCTTTGTTGCCATATTTATCACAACGTTTCGGCCATTGTACGCTCCGGCCTTCTTCAGATGGATGGAATGTCGAACTGAACCCTTTATTTCGCTCGCTGGGGTAGACTCAGATAAGACATTTAACCATCTTGACGCCACTTGTCGTAAGAATCACTGAAAAAAAACCCTTTGAGTTATTTCGCTAGAAAAAGAAAAGGTTAAAATTGATTTGTGCCAAACCCACTCTCTTCCCAAATGAGCAATGGTGGGCGTAAAAAGATCATTCAGGCCTTCATTAATGGTACCAACATTCATACTCTGGCTTCCGTCTTCAAAGTCCATTGAAGAACCATCAAAAGAATGGTGAATAAGTTTTAAAAAAAGGGAACAGTAGAGAGGAAAACTGGATCAGGACAGAAAGTCACAAAAGGAAGAGGGATCATCATTTCAATTTAGAGCTAAAGAAATCAATTAGAAAAGATCCAACTCAATCAATAAGACGTTTGGCACGTAAGAGAGGAATTTCACGTATGCCAGTCCAAAAAGCAGTAAAAAAAAGACTTGAAAATATAATCGTACGTGAAACCTGTGAGGCATCATAATACTTCAAGTCAGAAAGTTAGAAGGTTAGAGAGGGTGAGGATCATCTTCAGTATGTTGGAAAATGATCCTGGAATAATAGATATAAATCCACACACACACACACACACACTCTCTCTCTCTCTCCTCTCTCTCTCACACGCAAACACACACACACACACACACAGATATATATATATATATATATATATATATATATATATATATATATATATATATATGATTCCGATCCTTACCTGATTAATTAATAATGAACATGTCATTTTCGTTTATGATCGATTTCATCACGATACTTCTGTTAAGCTTGGCGAGTAATTATACATGCTTATTACTCAAATTAGAATCCAAAAGTGTTATAAAATCTTCGGGATATTCCAGTAAGATATCTTTAATCATTTCTAAGATACAACCTTTCAGAGCATAATCTAACAATTGGACAATTTTGCGGCTACACGATTTGGACAATTATAATTGCAGTTCATGCCTGGTATATATATACTTTACGGCCTCACGATCACCAAAGTTAAGCAACGTCTAGTCTGTTCAGTACCTAGATGGGTGACCGGCTATGAATACCAGGTGCTGTAAGCTTGGATGTGCGGGTGGTTTGGAGTACAGCCATATCACGTTGAAACACCGGTTCTCCCCCGATTAAGCAATTTGGAGCCTGGTCAGTACTTAGATGTTGCTTGATTTCATTGCTTAAAGTCGTTGACCGGTGCTGCCATGTAATAAGCGGGGTCGTAATACTTTCGACCTTTTTATTCGTCATCATCTAAGAGGAAGCTTAGAAACATGTAAGTTACCGCCTTTTGTTTTAGTTCATTGAAAGTTTGTTTTTATTATTATTATTATTATTTGAGTGATGTAAAATTGTCGTATTTTCAAAGACCTGACGTAAATTATCAAGGGCGTTATGTTTGATGATACGGTTGTTTGCTCCTGTTGTGAAAGGTGGCAAGTCGAGTGAAAAGGTATCACACAGACATCCTCTGTTTTATATATATATATGTAAGTGAACATTGAAGTCAACACTTAGAGGCGACAGGCTGTTTCGTGGTAGACGCAATCGTCAGGTCACCTGTAAAAAAAGTTTTATATAATATAAATGGCCGTCCAGTGCTTTCTGCATTCTGTTAAGGTTACTTCTGGACTCGATGAATTACTTAATTATAATTATCTCAAATCCTCCTAATTTCTATCATTTACTTGAACCGGCTTCTAATGCTCTGGATGGAGCGGATTGGGGATACTAGTCGTGGCTCGTGGGGGTACAGTCTACGGATAAAACAGAAAATCGGATGAGTTCCACTACGGAATATGTGATCGAGCGGCGCTATATCGAGTCTGATTCGCTATCTTTTCGTCACCGAGGCCCGTTGGAACAATTGGTATGACGTTTGCCTGATAACGTAAATGTCCTGGTTTCAATTCTTGGTAGTGGCTGTGCACTGCTGATAAGTCCCAAATATAGGACGAAACGGCCGTCCAGTGCTTTCTGCATTCTGTTGAGGTTTCTTCTAGACTCGATGAATTACTTAATTATAATTATCTCAAATCTTCCTAATTTCTATCACTTTGTCCAAGGACAAAGACGAAACCGAAAAATGATAGGTAGATGTGTACCTACTCAAAAAGATTAATTTAGACACTCCATTAACTTACACGGTATATCCTTCTCTCTAGTGCAATGAGAAGGCGCTCCCTGGAACAGCTGTTCCCCAGGGCCAGGCGACTACGTCCCTTGACGGTGTCACACCTCCATTAATCTACACGAATCTCTTCACATAAGCTCAATATCTGTATTATATATTATCTACTTCTAGGCACGATCACTCTTCAAATTTAACTAATTTGCATATTGATTTAAAAAAAGTTTATTTCATTAATTAACTGTTCTTCATTACAGTTCTTTTATTCGAGGATTGTTTTGATTTTCATATCAAAAATAGTTCTGTTTAGGAATATCGTCTTATATAGTGCAGAAAATTGTTTGAAATTTACATTTTACTTGGCCTTCGACAAGTTGGCATCTATTTGTAAAACTTTTCTCAACTATAACAAGCCAATTTATGAATGAAATATTCATTTAAAATTTTTGTTTGAAATATTTCAATTACTGACTATATCTTACTTTGCGAAGCGATAGCGAGCGGGTGAAGACTACTAATATATATAAATTAATATATATATATATATATATATATATATATATATATATATATATATATATATATATTGTGACATCGAAACTTTATAGTTATATAATCTTCAATAGTTGTAAGGTTATTCTACTTCATATATATTCTTCCGAAATATATTCTGCTTAAACTTCATCACACAAACACCTACTTTAATATACCACATACATACGTCTTTTTCATAAAATCTTCTTATTTCCGCATCTACAACGATCTTTAGCGAGGATAAAAACCATAAATCATATGTCAGACCAACCGATTCAAACATTCTCCCAATCTCGCTACCCGTCCCCTACTCATTTGCATCTTACCCGAGCCCTCTACGCTAGCCATCCACCATCCACACGCTCTCTATTCAGACCCTCACACTTCCGCATCGTCTCCTCGCCGTGTGCGCTGCTTGCTTGCATCGGAAAGTAGCCAGTATATCAAACAGACATTAGGCTTGACATCCCGAACGCACCAGGCCCCAAGTAATGGTCGACGTCTTCAGACGGAAGCTACTGGCTGGGCCTGTTTCCCGCCCGATGGCGAGGCTGCGAAGATTTAGACAGAACAGAAAAAAAATGACTAAGGAAAGCGATGACAGGCAGGAAACTATCAGTTCTTTGGTGAATTGTGTTTAGAATACAGGCAGATTTAGAAATTATAAACAATGGTAATATCGATTTAAAACGAGAAAAAAAAAGTGAATGTTTCTCCAGTTCGAGACAGCGATTCTACTTATTTGACTACAGTAATCTTCACGCGTATATAAGTTTTTGTATTTTTGTTTTACCGAAAATAACGTTGAAATTTGGGAAATAGATTTTGTTTCGAAAATCTAAGAATATTTAATTACGAGAAAGCAAACGTAAGATGTCAGCATACAAAGCAGACCTCTACCCATATTTCTAAAAAAAAATCTCTCTGAATAATCGTTAGAATATTATTGTCTGTTTCATGTGTATAGTCGTGACAATCCAATCCTGATATATTTCTACTGTAAGGAATCAGTAAAATGAAAATTTATATATATATATATATATATATATATATATATATAATACATCGAGTCTGAAAGAAACCTCAAGAGAATGCAGAAAGCACTGGAAGGCCGCTTCGTCCCATATTTGGGACCCATCAGCAGTGTGCACCTACTACCGAGAATTGAAACCCTGGTTATCATGCAAACATCATACCAACTTTTCCAACGGGTCTCGGTGACGAAGAGGTAACAAATCAGACTCAATATAGCGCCGCTCCCTCACATATTCCGTGGTTTCTCTCTAACCATAGGACTATGCCCCGCCGGACCGACGACTACTATCACCAAGCCGCTCAAACTTGAGCATTAGAAGCCGGTTCAAGCAATGATATACAAATGATAAAAATTATTAGGAGGATTTGATAATTATAATTAAGTAATTCATCGAATCTGAAAGAAACTTCAACAGAATATAGAAAGCATATATATATATATATATATGTGTGTGTGTGTGTGTGTGTGTGTGTGTGTGTGTGTGTGTGTGTGTGTGTGTGTGTGTGTGTGCGAAAATATATAGAAAATAGGAAGGAACTGGTTAGGTAAATAATCCAAAGTTCCTTAGTATTTTAGTTATTATTTTTAAAAAAATAGTGCTCGACACAAAAGTAGAGCATAAATATAATTATTTGTTTAAAAATATGATTCCAGCTCGCGACATAAGAGGTCTCATGTTTCAAAACAAGAGCCGAAAACTTCAATATAATTATTTGAATTAAATTGAACCAAAAAAGATTTCGCTTGAAGATGGAAGAGAGCTCACTTTAACTCAATTTAATTCAAATAATTATATTGAAGTTTTCGGCTCTTGTTTTGAAACTTGAGACCTCTTATGCCATGAGTTGGAATCATATTTTAAATAAATAATTATATATATATATATATATATATATATATATATATATATATATATATATATATATATTCTCGTATAAATATAATTGGCCGTAGATTCTGTGTCTGTCTCGTCTTATCTATAGGTCCCTTTATACTTGAATATATATATATATATATTCTGTGTCTGTCTCGTCTTATCTATATGTGGCTTTATACGTGAATATATATTCACGTATAAAATGACTTACAGATAAGGCGAGACAGACACAGAATCTACGCCCACATCACATTCCGTATGATTACCGAAGTTAAGCATCGTCCAGCCTGGTCAGTACTTAGATGGGTGACTGTTTGGGAATACCAGATTCTGTAAGCTTGGATGTGCAGGTGGTGTAACGGAATTTTTTTAATCGGAGAGCTAAGTTCAAATTCCAGTTGAATTCGTTATATTCACTTACACTCAAATGCTTGGGAAATGCATGAGTACACCTCTTCTTCCCCAGGCAATGGTTTAATTATTAAAACTTGTATCACTAACCTGATATTATCTCAAAAAAAAAAAACTGCGTACAAAATATTTAGGTTACGACATTAAGTAACCAATAGAGGTGTTGATATGCCGCTAAACAAAAACAACAAACCAACCTGAGAAAGTAAAGGGACTGGTCTGACAAAACATTTATTTCAATTTGAATAACAAACCAAATAGTTTTCTCTTCAAAGTAATCCCTCTTGTGTCTAATGCAATTTTCCGTCCTTTTCTGTCACGCTTCTATGCAGTCCTGGAAGGATTCTTTTTAGATGCCTCTCAGCTTCATCGTTACGACAGTTTTGATGACATTCACACCTTCAAAAGGATCCCCATGATAATCCCCTTGATCTTGGGGAAATGATAAAAGTCCCACGTAGTCAGATCAAGTGAACAGAGAGGTTGTTTCAATACGGCGATGTTCTTCTCGGCAAGGAATTGCCGGATGCTCAGGGCGTTGTGAAGAGGTTCATTGTCGTGATGAATCAACCACGATTTGTTCTGCCACGTAAAAAAAAATGGTTGCAGAAAGCTAAGATTACAGTTGTCCACTTTAATATATACATATATTCTATGTCTGTATTGAGGACTTTAACCCATAAATATAACTTATAACTTAAATATACCTTATAACTATATTTTATCATACATATATATATATATATATATATATATATATATATATATATGTATCCATGTTAAATGAGAACAAATGTAGTATAATTTCACTGTACATAACATTTAATTTTAAAGTGGGCTCAATACAGAGTACAGCTAAATATTATTTATTTTTGGATAAAATATGTTAAAAATCGCTACATAATGGCAATCATGTTTCAACACCATAAATGTGTCTCCTCGGGCGATGTTAAAGTACTGGCGAGTGAAAGATTAATTTAATTTCTAAAAGCAGAATACTTTAAAAATAGGATTGTGCGCTTTGCCGTGATTAACCATTATGTAGCCATATTTAACATGTTTTAATATCCTAAAATAAATTATATATATATATATATATATATATATATATATATATATATATGTATTGGGCGGTGCATATATGATTATTATTGAATTTTTCTCTTACTTTCAAATAGATAAAGATGAAGTGAGAGATGAACGGAGTGAGAACACGGAGAGCCGAGTTCGAATTCCACTCGAGTTTGTTAGATTAATTTATGCACAAATACCCTTGTGAAAGGTATGAATCTATCTCTTCTCCCTTCTATGGTTTAAATAGCAGAACAGACTGGGTTCTTTAGCCTTGGATGGCAACTAGTCTACCGCAGAAAGAAATGGTAACCGACTGCAGGAAAAATCTGCCTCGTCAGTCATGTATCGAAAGATACATGATCGCCTAAGCATGTATCACGCATGGCACATAACCGACTGATATTCACTTACGTGCTAATACCCTTAAGAAAGTTATGAATCCTTTACTTCTCTCCCCCACCAGCTATGGGTAAATAGCATGACAGACCGTGTTCTGTAGTCTTGGATGGCAACTGGTCTACCGCAGAAAGAAATGGCAACCTACTGCGGGAAAGAAATCTGCCTCGTCAGTCATGTATCGAAAGATACATGATCGTTTAAGCGTGTATCACGTGTGGCACATAACTGACTGACAGAGATAAAGATTGGCATGTGTCGTCAGAAGTTTACACTCTCAAGAGGGAAACAAAATATTGTAATGTTATCGAACGATGTGAAGGAAACGTTCGATGGAGGAAGAATTATTTTCCACCCTCCAACCTCTCTCTCACAGGCGGGATGTGGCAAGCCCTCACTGCCCCATCGCTACTTCCATGGAAAGTGTTCGGATGAACTACATTCCTTGGTTCCGCCATGTCTAATCTTCACGACTAAAACCCGCCATGCCAGGCACATTGTAGCGAACGACCCGCATACCTTCTGTATTCCATTGGTGAGAAGTAAGTTCCACCCGAACAGCTTCTCCCCACGAAACTAAGGAAGAGACTCCCAAGAGGATGTTTCCCCGATTAACCTGTTCAAGTCTAGAGTTAATCGTTCCCTCGCATTCCTATCCATATAAATTATTCCTTAACGTAACACTCTACCTCGAGTTCTTGGACAAAACGTTTTTTGATTGATGCTGTTCAAAACAGAGAATCTTTCAACTGAAGAGGACAGTCATCAACCGACAATATAAAGATGGCCGCTACAAATCAGAAACTTCAAATTTATTCAATTATAGAAATTTGAATATCTTGTAAGTGTGATGACAAGCGATAAAATATTTAACACGAAAATCCGAAGACGCATTCTTCTTCTTTTATATACCATATTCCTTCAGAATGTTGGCGATCATGGCTCTCCACAATTTCCTGTGTTTTGTAGCTCTTAGTAAAATTTGTCTTTTTGTTATCTCTCCTAAACCCTTTCCTGCCATCTATTTACACATTCTCGTTAGGCAGGGATTATGCGCTCTTTTCCTCAGTCCCTCTTGCCTTCAATATCCCGTGAGTGTCAAATTTTCCAAGCCCTCTTTCTTCATCAAATGCCCTAGAAATTTCATCAGGCTATTTCTGATGTTAAATGTAAGTCTCCTTTTTGCTACCATTTTCACTAAAACATTTTGGTTGCTGATATGTTCCCTCAAGGGTATTCTCAGCATCCTTCTGTAGAGCCACATTTCTCTCGACAACTTTCTTCTTCATCAGTGCGGAGAATGTCCAGAATTCACTGCTATTGAAGAGCATTGATTCATTACATTCAGTATTCTTTTCTTTGTTTCCAACGAGTGAAAGATGCCTTCCAAAAAATAAAAAAATAATTAAGAAACGGCAAAATTTCGTTGGAAACACAAATATGAGTGCTCAAGGTGTAGAGAGGTTCAGATAGTTCTGCCGAGGAAAGCATTCACAACTAGCACTTGAACAGGTTAAGATGGTAAAGTTTAAGAAGCATTTACAATCGCCCTTGACTTGAACAGGTTAAGATTGTGATGTTCAGGAAGCATTTACAATCGCCCTTGACTTGAACAGGTTAAGATTGTGATGTTCAGGAAGCATATACAATCGCCCTTGACTTGAACAGGTTAAGATTGTGATGTTCAGGAAGCATTTACAATCGCCCTTGACTTGAACAGGTTAAGATTGTGATGTTCAGGAAGCATTTAAAATCGCCCTTGACTTGAACAGGTTAAGATTGTGATGTTCAGGAAGCATTTACAAACTCCCTTGACTTGAACAGGTTAAGATTGTGATGTTCAGGTTTACAATCGCCCTTGACTTGAACAGGTTAAGATTGTGATGTTCAGGAAGCATTTACAAACGCCCTTGACTTGAACAGGTTAAGATTGTGATGTTCAGGAAGCATTTACAATCGCCCTTGACTTGAACAGGTTAAGATTGTGATGTTCAGGAAGCATTTACAATCGCCCTTGACTTGAACAGGTTAAGATTGTGATGTTCAGGAAGCATTTACAATCGCCCTTGACTTGAACAGGTTAAGATTGTGATCTTCAGGAAGCATTTACAAACGCCATTGACTTGAACAGGTTAAGATTGTGATGTTCAGGAAGCATTTACAATCGCCCTTGACTTGAACAGGTTAAGATTGTGATGTTCAGGAAGCATTTACAAACGCCATTGACTTGAACAGGTTAAGATTGTGATGTTCAGGAACCATTTACAATCGCCCTTGACTTGAACAGGTTAAGATTGTGATGTTCAGGAAGCATTTACAATCGCCCTTGACTTGAACAGGTTAAGATTGTGATGTTCAGGAAGCATTTACAATCGCCCTTGACTTGAACAGGTTAAGATTGTGATGTTCAGGAAGCATTTACAATCGCCCTTGACTTGAACAGGTTAAGATTGTGATGTTCAGGAAGCATTTACAAACGCCCTTGACTTGAACAGGTTAAGATAGTGGTGTTCAAGAAGCATTTACAATCGCCCTTGACTTGAACAGGGTAAGATTGTGATGTTCAGGAAGCATATACAATCGCCCTTGACTTGAACAGGTTAAGATTGTGATGTTCAGGAAGCATTTAAAATCGCCCTTGACTTGAACAGGTTAAGATTGTGATGTTCAGGAAGCATTTACAATCGCCCTTGACTTGAACAGGTTAAGATTGTGATGTTCAGGAAGCATTTAAAATCGCCCTTGACATTTAACCCTTGAGGTTAAGATTGTGATGTTCAGGAAGCATTTACAATCGCCCTTGACTTGAACAGGTTAAGATTGTGATGTTCAGGAAGCATTTACAATCGCCCTTGACTTGAACAGGTTAAGATTGTGATGTTCAGGAAGCATTTACAATCGCCCTTGACTTGAACAGGTTAAGATTGTGATGTTCAGGAAGCATTTACAATCGCCCTTGACTTGAACAGTTTAAGATTGTGATGTTCGGGAAGCATTTACAATCGCCCTTGACTTGAACAGGTTAAGATTGTGATGTTCGGGAAGCCCTTGACTTGAACAGGTTAAGTTTGTAATATTCAAGAAGCAGCAGTAATTAACGGTTGATTTGAATAGATTAAGATTGTAGTGTACAGAGAGCAGTCATAATTGATCCTTGTCTTGAATAGATTAAGATTGTATTTTTCAGGGAGTAGTCGCAATTGTCCCATGACTTGAAATTACGACTTAATCTTGATGCGAAGTGGTTAAAACTTTAGTATTCAGAGAGCATTCACAATTTACCCTTTATTTAAAGAGATTAACACTGTAGTGTTCAAAGATGTGTTTAATAAATTCTACTTATGATAGCACAGATTACATTAATAATTAAAACCCGAGGTGATATGCGTATTATTATATTGTTTTTTTGGGGTTTTTTGTTTTTGTTTGGTTTTTTTTTCTTTTTCTTTTTTATTGTACGGTTCAAAACGTTACCTTATCAATAACGTTCTCTCATTATCTTTGGGACGAATATCACCGTTGTTAAGGCCTTAGATCATCGGTAACCGACGACTGTAAGATTCCCTCTTGAATATGGCTGGAATTAAATATGGTCTGACAATATCAGAACAAAATGGAGTTAGAAAGAAGACAAAAAAGAACGTCAGAATGAAAAACAAAAGTGAATTTGACAAGAAAATATTGTAAGTCAAGAAAATGAAAAATAGGGATAAATATATCTGTAATAAGGAATCTCATGAAAACTGCATATGATATAAAAAAAAAAGGGGAAACAAAAAATTATGATTGAAGGAAATGAATGAAGGAAAGACAAAAAGATTAGGGAAACTGAAAAAAAAATGGAAAAAAAAGAATTTACAAAAAAAGAATTATATCAAGGAAAAGAAATATTAAATTGAAGGAAAGAAAACACATCTATGAAAAAATAATGAAAGAAAGAAAGAAAGAAAGAAAGAAAGAAAGAAAGAAAGAAAGAAAGAACTGGTTGGAGATAAAAATAAAAAATAAAATCGTGTAAACGAAAATAAATAAAACAAATACATTTTAAAAGAAAAAAGAAAGATGAAAAGGGTTAAGAAAGAAAGAAAGAAAGAAAGAAAGAAAGAAAGAAAGAAAGAACTGGTTGGAGATAAAAAAATAGAATCATGAAAACGAAAATAAATAAAACAACTACATTTTAAAGTAAAAAAGAAAGAAGAAAAGGGTTAAGAAAGAAAGAAAGAAAGAAAGAAAGAAAGAAAGAAAGAAAGAAAGAACTGGTTGGAGATAAAAAATAAAAAATAAAATCGTGTAAACAAAAATAAATAAAACAAATACATTTTAAAAGAAAAAAGAAAGATGAAAAGGGTTAAGAAAGAAAGAAAGAAAGAAAGAAAGAAAGAAAGAAAGAAAGAAAGAAAGAAAGAAAGAAAGAACTGGTTGTAGATAAAAAATAGAATCATGAAAACGAAAATAAATAAAACAACTACATTTTAAAGTAAAAAAGAAAGAAGAAAAGGGTTAAGAAAGAAAGAAAGAAAGAAAGAAAGAAAGAAAGAAAGAAAGAAAGAAAGAACACCATGGTTGAAGGAAAACCCTTCAAAAAAAAGAAACTCAAAAGAAAGAATCTGTGAAAAGAAAAAAAGCGAGAATTATAGGAAGAAAAAGAGAAAGAAAAATGAAAGTATTAAAAGTCGATGGTCATATCGATATGTCAGTCCGCTGCTGGGGTCAGGGTCAGTGTTGGCCAGGGGAAAGCGTTGTCAGCCAGCTATGGCCATTCATCAGTCGGTGGCCATGTTGTGGGTAATTGAAGCAAACAGAGATGGCGTATTAATGATGTCTGCAAAGCGTATAAAGAACAGCCGCCAAATCATTTCTCTCGGCTTGTTAAATTAATAACTGCCTTTTGCTGATACATACAGCTTTTAGATTCTTTTTTTCTTAACTTCTCTTAGGTCTCTCTCTCTCTCTCTCTCTCTCTCTCTCTCTCTCTCTCTCTCTCTCTCTCTCTGTGTGTGTGTGTGTGTGTGTGTGTGTGTGTGCATCTCTCTATCGCTCTATGCCATCCCTCTCTCTATGCATCTCTCTATATATGATATATATGTATGTATATATATATATATATATATATATATATATATATATATATATATATATATATATATCACAGTCTATCTAGCTGTCAGTTTTGTTCAGATCTATCTATCTATCTATCTATCTATCTATCTATCTATCTATCTATGTCCGTTTCTATCAGCGCACGCTCTTTTTTCTGTATTTTCACCTATCTATATATCTATCATCTCTTCATATCTATCGTCGCTTGCGCATCTATCTATCTATCTATCTATCTATCTATCTATCTGTCTGTCTATCTATCTATCTATCTATCTATCTATCTATCAGTCTGTTCATATCTATCTGTGTGTGTGTGCATTTTACCTATCTTTTTTCCTTTCTCTCTCTCTCTCTCTTTCTCTTTCTCTATCTATCTATCTATCACAGGTTGTTCATATCTGTCTCAATCTAATCGTATCTATCTATCTATCAACACTTTTCTCAAAGGTGTTGCATTCATCTATATATTATCTATCATATCTTCTATACCTATCTATGCATCTATTCATCTCTCTCTCTCTTTCTCTCTCTCTCTCTCTCTCTCTCTCCCAGTGTCTTTCTCTGCCTACCTTTCAGTCTATCTATCAGAATCTGTACACCTCTCTCTCCTTCTCCCTCTGTGTGTGTGTGTCTTTACATATTTATCTATCAATGTTTGTTCATGTCTATCTACCTTCAGCTGTTCGTATCTATCTAACTAGCTAGCTATCTCAGTCTCCTTTTTATCTATCTATCTAGCTAGCTAGCTACCTAGCTATCTCAGTCCCCTCTTTATCTATCTATCTAGCTAGCTAGCTATCTCAGTCCCCTTTTTATCTATCTATCTATCTATCTA